TATAATGATGCATTTGGGAGTATAATCAACAGGATTTGGCTACTAGAGCTTGGTCGTAACCTGAAATGCAGTTAAGCCTCTTCATCCTCAGATTCTAGCTTAAATACGGGTTAAACCATAAAACTGTGGACTGATGCTTATGGTTTCATTCACCCATTTAATTATTTAATCATTTATTCACTCAGCAAAGGCTGATTAAGCCCCTTCTTCATGCCAGTCACTCTGTAAGGTACTGAACATAAAGCATTCCCCCACAGATATTTGCCAGAAGGATCCTTGCACCAGTGTTTGACTTAACTGTGTATGTTAGAACATGGTGCTAAGATCTGCATTCTTAATGTTATCTCCATAGCCTTTTTTCCAATAGCTCCATGATCCTCATCAGAGATTCCTAGGGGCCCCTTGGGCTGATAGGGAATGATGGGACTGGCACACTGGAAGTACAGCCAGCACCTCGTGAAAACTCTGGTGCTGACAGTCTTGTCATGCAAGGGACAGACCCATATGGTGAGGACTATTTGGCAAAACAAAAGCCAGTAACGCTCCTGTTAATGAACCCTGGTCAGCTTCACTCTAACAGTGTCCAGCCCTCGCCAGCAATGTGTCTGACTTTAATCAGAGTACTGAATCTGCCTAAGGGTGAGTTTTCTTCCCAGTCTTTCCGCCTGGTCCCTTGGGCTCTCCAGAGCCACTTGACTCACCATTCTGCTCTCCAGATTGTGTCCAGGGCGTGGCTGTTAAGGCAGCACACTTGAGAATAGACAAAACCCCTTATCTGTCTTGTGCTGTGTGTTCTTGGGAAAAGTCCTTAATCTTTACTAATTTAGTTTCCTTATCTGTAAAATGGAAACAGCACTAGTATCCATCTCACGGGGCTGTTCTGTTACTACCCATAGATACTTAGAACAGTGCTTGAGCTTGACACGTGGAGCACCCAACAGATACTGGCTATTACTGTTCAGCAGCATGGAAGGCAGTGTACTGGGCACCATGCAGGTATCACTGATGAGTACATTACTAGCACAACTTCTGCCCTAGAGGACATCGCTGGAAAAAGGCATACTAGCCACCCAAGAGCAAGCCAGCACCTAGTATGTTTATTGACAAACACACACCAATCTGACTGTGGTGGTTCTTTGCTAACATGACTCCTGCTGCCTCTGCTCAGACCCTGGGTCTACTGCTTTCACAGGTCTAGTGACCTCTGCTCATTGGGTTTGCTCATTATCTTTGTATTGGTTTGGGAGGAATTACCCCTTTTTCCAGAGGACATCTCTGGCCCTTTCATGGCTGATTGCACCCTCACTGTGAGTTAGCTGCCAAGTGTTTTTCCCGCTGGGCTGCAGCCTTGTGGTTCCTGGGTTTTCCCCACCACCTAAGGCACCAGCTCTAATCTCTATGTCAGTGCTAATACCTGGGTCAATGTGGCATCATTTTATCTTTCAAAGTCTAATCTTAGACTCTACCAGCTGCTTAGCCTCACAGTCAATGCTGTGATTCTCATGAAATTTTAAAAATATTTTGTTTATAGTGAAACCACTTTTAACTGTTTCTGATATGTCACAAATATACAGACTGGGAACAAAAGAACAGTTCATTCTACTGGTTAACACAGAATGAATCAACAATCCCATAAATAACAGCACCAACAAAAATATATATCTTTTTGATATACATTTTTGAACCTCATCTTTTCAGGGTCCTAGAATTATCATTTTTATTTCCCTGTAAGCCCTAGTATTCTAGAGATTCATAAATGGTGATTAATGCTTCAAATATATCATTGATATGCTTCATATCATAGCAGAACCTTAACATCAATTTATTCACAAACTCTCTAGTTAATAGCTTGTTCATGAGACTGATAATTTGTGACTGTGAGATTTCACATAGCACACTAAAATTTTTTTAAAATCTTTAATAACTACTGCTTAATTCTGTGCACTATTAAGAATAATGTGAGTAGAGAAATAATGTTAAAGTTAGAAAATTCAGTAGTTTCTTTTTAAGGCAGTGTGTTCTATTAGGACTCCATTTTTTCTCTTCCTGGATATTTATCATACATGTAGCAAAAATGATAAAATGGTTTCATTTGCACAGAGATATTTTTAAATAATGGGAAGAATGAATGCTAGAAAATGAGAAAGAGTGCTCTCAGAGACAATTAACTACATAATCTAAGACACACCATAATTCTCTATATATATCCCATAAAATTCTATACCCCTTTAATAGCTATAACAGTTAACTCAAAATTACCAGAATGAGAAGCCCTCTGACTTTTTAATATTCTTCTTTAAACACAGACTCTTTAAGAAATAAAACCTAATGCCATGTATAGCTAAATTTTAATGTTTTCTTTTTCCTTATTAAGTGCAATTAAAGTCCAAACTTGCAGTAAATGGATAGCATGATTTTCTGGCTTGGTTAATTCATTTAACCATTGTTTCAACTTATTTATTGAGCAAATATCATGTGTTAGGTGCTAGATTAAGTGCTAAGATAACAAAGATCAGTAAATCATGATCCCAGTGACTTAGGATAAGACAATCCTCATAGGGTTTACAGTATATTGTGGAGCTATTATAAGAATCAGCAATTTTATTAATGAGTGAGCTTTTTAATCAATATTTTGTATACACTTTAACCATCAGTTGTTGGTGACAGATTTTCTAAGTACTTGTGTACAAAAACAAAGATAAATGTGAATATATATTCTGTCTACATTAGTTACATTCAAAGGAAGAAAACCCACAAGACTTGTTGTGATTATAGAGAAGGTAATGGATTTGTTGGAAGTACTTTCTAATATCTAATTATTTTGTATTATAATTTAGGGAACATTGTGTGATTGCATTATTAATATAGATTCTAATAGGAAAAAAGAAAAGCTGTGCTTTTAAATGAAATTACCTGTACATGTAACCATGGTTTTCAGAACAAGTCCATTTAATGCTTTCAATGATAATTTTAGATGCACAGTTTATATGTAAAAACAAAAGGACTGAAAATAATGACTCCAGTGTTAGAGGACTTATAAGTATCCAGAATGCAATAGAGAGAAGGAGGTAAAAAAATTACAGACAAATATAGTTTCTAGTATCACATCTTTTCCTTTAGGAAAGGAGAATATAGAAAAGAACAGTAACTGGTCATCTTGAACATGTTATCCTTTGATGATGTTTCAGAACTTACTAAAACACAAAAAAAATGAGAACAAAAAAGCTATCTTAAGAGTAACTTTATCTTACTCTGGAATGTGTATTTTTTAAGTACCTTTTCCCAATGCTTTTCCAAATGACTCTTACCTTCTAAATTTCTGGAAAGATTGGCAGTGTTATTACTGGAAAGGCTGCACCCTATAGCAATGGAGAGTGTGCTCTGTGAGTGGCCACCTGGGCCACTTAAGGCTGTGTAATCTTGGGCTAGTTACTTAGCTTCTCTATCTCCATTTTTTCATCAATAAACTGGGCCAGTGGTAAAACCCATTTCATAGAGTAACTGTAAAATTTTATGAATTAAAACAATACTTAGTGTACTGTGTGGCACATGGTAAGTACTCAGTAAATGTTTGGTATTATAAGATTGAACACCAAAGCTGAAATTTCCATTGAAAATCAAGCCAGATTGTAATAGAGGAAGAAATGCCTGATAAATACATGAGAAAATAGTTCACTTCACTAATAACCAAGAAATGCATGTTAAAATTAGATAACTTTTTTCCAATTAAGTAGGCACTTTTGTTTATCAATACTAACCATAATTAGTAATAATCTCGACTTGTGGGCGCCTTTACAGTTTGGACACAGTTTGCCCTGTCTTCATACACACACATGTGTTCTCCAATTATTATTTATTTTAAATAGGGAAAAAGTGCTTCTGATATGAAGTGGTGCCCGGGATTTAATGTAAAATGAAAAACACAATTAGCCTAATAATTTATACATACTGTATAATTTTACTTTTGCAAGAAAAATATGTGTTTCTTTGTGCTTGCAAGGGGAAAAGTATAAATGTTTAAAGATACACAAAGCTGAAAGGAAATGCATGAAGTTAACATTAGTTTATTCCAGAGAGTAGAACTGGGTTTGAAAGATAGGGGAATACTTGCTACACTTCCATATTTTTTGAGTTTTACTAAAAAACTATATATTACTTTGAAATTTAAAACATGTTTTTTTAGGGGAAAAAAAAGCCTAAGCCAGAAAATCTCTAGTTAGGGAATTCTAGCCCCAAAACAGTAATCTTTTGGACCTGGGGAAGAAATGAATACCCAAGATAATTACATCTCTTATTTAGAGAGCCTTAAAAGCTGTGGTTTGAATGAATAAGTGCATCTAGTTGTGGGAAAGTCTTCATTTAAAGAAGGCAGACAGATATCACTTCTCCCTATGACTGCTGGTTCCCAGGATATTGCCAAAAGGCCTAAGTCTTTGTTTACTGGCAAATATATGGAACTTAAAGGAAATTGGGGTGCTTTACAAAGAATATCAAGCACCCAGCCCAAAAGCAGTATGTGTTTTGGAAGGCTACCTCCAGCCCATAAAAGCATGTTCATTACAGTTATAAAGTGAGCCCCTCCAAAAAGATTCAGTCTGCAAATGCATACTCTGTAGCCTTGATATCTATCATCTTGTTCTTCAGAAAATGTTCCTAAATTGTTCCACACACTTTGTCAGACCTCAGTTAATATTTGGAGAATTGAAATGAGTTTCATAGGGACCATTTTCTGTAAGAGGTACTGCTGAATATATTTATGGGTTTACAGAAAATTGTGTCCTAGAATCTAGTGATAAAAACACATTTAGGATAGATGGAGAGGTTTAGATTAAGGTAGTTGATTGTTATGAAAACTATGTCTCAATATTTTAAAGTACTTTATGTTTTGATAATTTTTAAAAGAATCTGAAGATAAAAATTCTGTATGAACACTGATGCAACTCTATTGGTGCCTAATTATTTTCTTCTTTTTTAATGGAATATCTTGTTTGTCTTTGTAGAGTTACTGGAGGTGAGCTGTTTGAAGACATAGTGGCGAGAGAATATTACAGTGAAGCCGATGCCAGGTAAGTGACTTGCCCTGGGCAAGATACAAGACTCATTCAAATGAGGCTTGATATTTCTCATTTCTCAATTGATACTTTTCTCTCTCGAGGATTTCCAAGAGGATTCTCTGAAGGAAAAAATCTATGAATCTGGTCAAAATTTTGTTTTTATCTAGCCTCTATAGTTAGAGTGTATATATATTTTTTTTTTTTAAAAAAGCCTAACAGAGAGACTTCGGCTAAAGAAACAGACTTTTTTTTTTTATCAAAGAGATCAAAGAGTAAGATCCTTTAGTCTCTAGATCCTGAGCTACCTAGTATGTTAGCTACTAGTCACATATGGCTACTTTAATTTCAATTGCAATTAATTAAAATAAAAAGTTCAGTTCGTCAGTTGCACCAGTCACACTTCGGGTGCCTGATAGCCAGCCACAAGTGGTTAGTGGCTATGGACTGGGCATAGCAGAGAGCATTTCTGTCTTCACAGAAAGTTCCACTGCATAGTCCATGTCTAATCAGAGACCATAAAAAGAAACAGACTCCAAAAACCCCCATGCTCTCAAAGCATCATTAGCTGTTTAACTCTGGAAATTTCATTAAAGCCCTGGAACTCTCACTTGAAATATTTATTCAGGTATTTCAGAGGGTTCAAGAGAATTTCCCAATTTATCAATTGGCAAAATCTTTACCGAAGTTAAAAATGGTTGACATTTTGTCAATTTAAGACTTCTGAGCTACACAAAAGCAATGTTTTTGAAGTGAAGTAACATTAACCCACTTGCTTAGATATTATTTAGACTGTATGGTGTCAGTTTTCCTTGGCATTCCTTATATGCATATATGTGTATATATATATATTTGGCACTTGTTTTGAGAAATCTGGCCATGAGCATTTGGCTCATTATTAGCAAGGTAAATTAGATGTTTTGAAAATTGCCTGCCTGCATTCTCTAATGTTTCCAGAGCTTCCTAAAGCTTGCTAATCCCACTGTAGCCCTCACCATATAGTCAGCTGACAGTATGTTCCCTCCCCTCCAAAGTAGTACATGTATACATAGGCTAACCTGTAAATCATTAATTAATCTTGGCTTAATGCCAGTTTATGACATTCTGTAAACCATATCTGTACATGACTACACCATGATTTTTTAATGGAGTTTTTACTGCCACAGTCATATAGAAAGTTCTCTGTCACTTACATGAGGAATGAATTATTACTTGCTCAATCTACCCCAAATCCTTACCATAGGCTCCTGAAAACGGGCTTCTGAGCAGCTCAGAAGTACCTATTCTGCCCACTTGCCACAAAGAGTAATAATTTTAATCAAGGTAGTAAACAAGTTAAGGGATTTCATTTATTTTGCTTTTCAAAGTTATGTTAAACAGGCTATTATTATGTTCAAAAAGTACAGGTTGAAATTAAAATAGAGACCTATTTTACAATCCAAGAGCCCTTCAGATAATAGGATAGACCCTAATGGTTGGATCACTTCACATATATGCTTATATTAAGTTTTGGAGTTTGCTACGGGTTATATTTCAGGATAGTGCCCACACAAAACCAAGAAGATCATTCTCTTCCCAACTACAAGCATAAAGAGCATATTCTACAAATAATTTTTAAAAGTCTGTTTTCTCTCATTATTCCTCAAGAAGAATTGAATACATTCTCACTAGTAAAAAATGGTGACATTTGTTTAATAAGAATTGTTTATTTTCTGTTATTCATTAGGCCTAATAACTTACATGTGTGGCTTGAGAGGAGAAAGTGAAATATTTCTAAAAAGTAGTTTAAAGTAGATATTATGTAGAAGGAAAAAGTCATATGATTTAAAAAATAATTACCAACACTCAAGCTATATAGTCAAAAGCAACCAATGTGAGGTGCTTCTTATGGTACTCTTAATAGAGTTAAAGCTAAAAAATCAGTCATGATCACTTTTTTTGACATGTACATTGTAATAAAGCAGATGGTGATAACTTTTTTAATTCAATAGTTTAGTCATATTATTTTATACATTAAATGGTTGAAAATGTCCTCACTAAAATGTTTGCTTAATCTTTAAATGAATGAATAAATGTAGTTCTGTATATACCTTCATTTGAATCACACAGTGAATTTGTACAAAATTAATCAATGTGATATGTTCTGTGTTACTGTATGATAGATGACAGCTCATGGGACCTCATAGGTGCCAACCAATGATTTTTCCCCTCTAATTTCATTAGCAGTCTATTTGACATCAGTGTACCTTTAATAAAAATAGTATAAATTATACATTGCAATCTAGTAATAAGCAAAAGTTTTCCTTCACTGAGGTATATGGAAATATGTTTAACAATTACCAGCGGTGTAGGGGACTTTACATTTTCATTTATTTATTTAGCAAGTTCCCAGCCTCTCCCCACAGTATGCCTACACTAAAGAGGGTTTATTTTATGTCATTTGTTTTGAATTCTCCCTCTGTCAATGGAGACTTGCATTAGTTTTCCTCTTAATATATTATACAAGTACCATTTCTAAGTCAAAATGATAAATGTGTCCCTACTTTTATTTAACCCATGTTTCACCTGCCACTTCATCTGTGTTTACCCTCCTGTTTCAACACCTTATGTTTAATTGTGACCTCAGATTTTAAACAGTTTAGATGTGTATGACAAATAACCCATAAATTTTATATCTCTGAAGAATTTCCCCAGAACATTATGGAAATTATCTATTAATTTTTCTCCCCGAATACAGAAATTTTGACTTCTGTAAACAAGTGATTTAATTTTTTTAAAAAAAGATAAAAAACACAGCTCAAATTGTTTTGTCTGAACATGTCACAAATTCTATGTTGGATGTCGTTTTTGTTAGAACCAGAATTAGCTTTATTCAGCATTATTTAATTCCAGCGTAAAGCTAAAAAAAATGTGAATAATATAAGTTTTTTTGTGTGTTTGTTTCATTTGAACTTTCATTTTATTTTATATTCAATGTGACTATGTACCTTTAAAATGTTCTCCCTTCCATTTTGCCCTTGTATCTTTACAGTCATTGTATACAGCAGATTCTAGAAAGTGTAAATCATTGTCACCTAAATGGCATAGTTCACAGGGACCTAAAGGTCAGTATATGGAGTCCATAAATCTGAATCAAGGAGTTCTTTTGCTCTGTTCTTCTCTGGGGAAAGGGCAGAGGGTGGGTGCTTAAAATGGTTCCCTTGCCTTTCCCAACTTTTCCTTAAAATGACTCAGTGATGAAATGATAATGCATGATGCCTCTTTCAGTTTGCTCATCTACAGGCTAAATATACATCATAGCAGAAAGGGAAGGACAGTATTAAGAACACAGCCTGTTCAGTTTCCAAGCAGTCAGCCACCAGAGGTGGTTTGGGCTCAGGCTTTCCTGAAACGACCAGCATTCACCTGGAGATAAACTGGACCTGTGATGTATGTCCGCCTGTAGATTTAAACACCACTTCTGTTCTGAGACCGTGGGTTGCTGTAGCAAAACAACTGGTTACACATTGCTCCATTTGAGTCTGATGATCCCTCAGGCAAGAGATAATAATTGCCAACTAAATTAAAACACAAGAAGTTAATGATTTATCAAAAAATCATTACATATCTTAATTTAACCTTAATGGTGCCTTGGCTGCCAATGTGACAGCTTTGGAACAATACTAGAAAAATGGGAGAGAATAAGGAAACTGTTTTTTGTGTGTGGGGTGGAGATAAAGCACAACAGCTATAAAAATTATATTTGTGTTCTAAGTCATTTCTTGTAAGAATTTATAGCAGGAAATGAGCTTCTGAAAAATATTTTTAAGATGGATTTTCTAGAACAAGTGAATCCACATTCTGGCCCACATCTGGCAAGGTCCTGATTGTTCTGAGGTAGTAGTCACTCTACTTGAGCAATATGTCTACGTTCCTGAAGATGGTAAAATATAACCCCAGTTGTCTGCTAGTTTTGCACTTCAACCCAGTCTCTCTGAGGGTATACAGATAGTGAGTGTAAGCTTGGAACTAACACACGCCCCCTGGTGTTTGCATGCAGTCATTGCATTCAGCAGATCCTGGAGGCTGTGCTACACTGCCATCAGATGGGCGTAGTCCATCGGGACCTGAAGGTGAGTAATGCTGTTGGAGAAGATAAACCACCACACAATTCCTAATGACTGTTCAGCTGCAGTTATGCCTGTAAAGGCGAAAATATGAGCAATAAAGTTGTGTGGACTCATTCCAACACATTACGAAAACACTCCCTCACCACAATCTCTTATTTCATCTTCTTCTCTAATATACACTTGAGACTTATATAAATCCCATTTCATCCAGAAAAATAATTTCCTGACATTAACAATAAATAGGTTGCTATATTTACTTCCTCTTCAGTGTGGATATAGCATTTAATATGACTGTGAGTAGGACTGATGACCTCTTCATTCTTAACCTGTTCTGTGGACCTTGATCAAACATTGTATAGTCGTACCATATATACCCAATATTATGTAAACAGTTATCAAAATTATAGAGTGGTTAGAGGTAAAGCTTTTTGGCCCAAGTGATGATGCTAAAGACCTCCCTTTTGGACTGCGAAGTCTCTTTCCCTTGCCTTTAGTCCCTAGAATTCTGAGGACATTGGAAACTCCTGGTTCTTTACATATTTATATTCATAGAGACCGAGATACTAGTGCCTTTTAAAACAGATGGGGAAAAAAGTAAAACAAATTTTATTATCAAATAATATTTATGTAACATTTATACATACCAATACTTTTAAGACTTCACACAGCTTCTGATACCATCAAGGATGAGAACTGTTTCATCATTTGGAAATGGAATAGTTCAGGGGCCTACTCTTTTTAAACTCTATGTCTCCTTTTTTAAGCATTCTAATTTTACTTATGGGATTTCAGAGATGTAGTGAAGGCCTAGAAATGTAAATGAAAACACTACTGGGTGGGCAAAGTAACAAATGTGAGCACTATGTACCTGAGATTCTTTGTCTGAAACAAAGCCTTTTCCAGGCATTAGTAGAAAACTGGCAAAGGGTAATTTAGAAAGTCTTGAACTTTGTGTTCAGTGGAAAGACCTACGTTGGTTTCTCAAGTGCAGACTTCTCTAGCTGTAATATCAGTGGAAAGACCTACGCTGGTTTCTCAAGTGCAGACTTCTCTAGTTGTAATAAATTATAAATCTATAGCTCCATTAATTTAGTGTGTTCTAGAAAAGTCTATCTTTAAAGATCTATAGTAAGTTACATGAAGCTGTGCTTGGTAAGCAAAACATCACCTTAGATCTCTGGAATTTCCTTTGATTTTAGTTTGAGTCTGAGAGTTTAAAATGTCAAAAGCAAATGTATGGTTAATGGCATTATCTTTTGGAGAGCTGAAGTAGGACCGTGCTCATGTGCAACACTTATTCCAAAATGTACCCATCAGGATAAAGGAAAAACAGTATGTTCCTTTGAAAATTCACATCTTTGGTGATCACCTAAAAATTCCTTACTAGCCATGTGTAGACAGAGCTCCTTTTGTTACTTCTCAGAAGTCACAGTACTATTTCCTTTTTGAGTGAACATACATGGATATGCATGTAATTTATGTTATTTTATCAGATACCCTAGTTAATAAATTAATCATTTGAAACATTTTTACTTCATGTATGGTCATTGTAAGTATACTCAAAAAACCAAAGATGAAAAATGTGAATTCTCTTCCATGACTTTTGAAATATTTCTTGTGGAGTAATGATATTGGACTTGTGTGAGCGTCCAGACTCAGCTGAGCCCTTCAAAGACTGGAAGGTTAATCAGAGATAACAGTGAGCCAAGGATATGAGCTGTGAAGAAAAATGACATGTGAGCTAAAGACACTAAAAACTCAGGCAGGTGATTTCTAGGGAGGCTTACTACCAAAAGAAAATAGCATGCTGTATCACCTATCGGATTTCTTTCACAGGGGATAAGTGTTTTTGCTTTCCATTGTTATTCTGATTTTAGGAGAGGACAGAGATGAGCTTTTGATAGACAGTGTTGCAATTTCAATAACTGTCTTAGTTTCTGTCAAATTGCTGACTTGTGTAGACTTCAGTGGAGTCTATTTCTCAGTGCTTATTTCAGTAGGCCATGTCATAATCACACTGAGAGAGTCCAAAACATGTGTATTAGAGGCAACTTATATGTACCTTGAGTGTGCTAAATCCCTGGCTGTATTGTATGTCTTTTATACCACCATGTATATGCTATCTGATACACTGCTTGTAATAGCATGTTTACCAATATATTAAAATAAAAAATATCAAAGGCTGAAATTTCTTTTCACCAGGTTTTAAACAAAATGTTGTCCTTACTATTCTTAGGCCATTCTGACTCATATGCTAATTCTATATAATAGAGGTGTTTGATTCACAGTTTAATTTATCCATCAATGAGAGCAAAACACAGAACGTGTTATGTTTTATCATTATCAAAGGCACCCATGAGCATATGAGTGCTGTACAATTTGTTTATAAGCTGCTCCTAGAACAATAGTTGTTTGACATATTGCATTACTCTACAGTCCTAATAGGACCTTTTACCTAATAAATACTTGCAGCATATTCCTTCAATTTAGGAATGGATGAAGTTCAACCTGAAATACATTTATAATATATAAGCAACACTGAATAACATAGATTGTTATGTATGTTAATTAAAGTTGAAAAAGATAAAGAGCGTAAGTATATCTTCTTTGATATATCGATAGCATAAAGATCATTATTTGAATATTTGAATAACTGCCACTATTGGGGGCTTATTGGACAGTCGAATTTATTAGACGAAAAATTACCAGGACCTAGAGACAAAGTTGAGGCAGTTGGAGGATGTCCCAGAAACAATCAATAGGAAAAGGTTCAGTGTGGTTGGATATTAGCATCAAGGAAATACATCAGCCAGCACCAGGCAGTATCCAGCAGATACATGAACCACAACCTTTTGTCTAAGGTGCGTCTAGCATCAGGCCAACTGACATAGATACAAGCAGTTTTAAGGAGATCTAGCAGTGGTGACATTATTATAGTACTATAGTTCAGCAATGTGACTGTAGTCTTCAGGGGGTTTGGATCAAGGCAGGACCTTACTAATAAAAATAGTAGTAGCTGCCATTTCTCAAGCAGTTACAGGTACCCTGCATTGTGTTATTGTATGAATCTTCACAACTTTATGAGGAAGGTGCTTTGATTGTACCGTGTTGCCTAAAGGGAGATTCAGCAACTATAAGTAAAAGAGCTTATTGAAGGTCACTCAGCTAGTAAGATATAATTTGTGTCTAAGCAGAGTCTGTGTGCTTGATTGCTACCACTTCTCAATTCAGTTAGTTTAATAAATTGAAAACCTTTATAGAGACCAAAGAATAGGTCAAACAATGATGGGAAAGTAATTTTGCAGCAACATTAACAACTGTTTGGGATATGGTTCAAAGTTTAGTGAATCGAAAGATTTAAATAGTCCTTCCTATGGGTCTTCCAGAACTGTACAAAACCTATATCTTTAGGAATAAGAAAAAAATGGTATATTTAAGATAAGATGTGGAGTAGGGGGGCAGCATCATTTGGCAATAGACTGATGTATGAAGTAAAAAATTCTGATGTATGAAATAAGTAAGGTGGCATTGACCACAGCCTTTGGCAAATGAGACATAGAGAAGAATGAAATGTATTTGCCATGCTTAATTTATGTCACATCAAGGCAATCATTTTGGAATACTTAAAATAGATTGCTTATATAGAGTGGATTACTGTTAACTCAGTGTTGGATATTTGTGAACTGATTGAAAATTCAGATATAAAGAGCAGAACAAACACTCATCAAACATTTCTTGAACACCTACTAAAGCACTGTCTCAGCTGTGGACATAAACAACAGAGCAGAACAAGAACAGACCTCGTGTGGAGAGAACCTGAAGGCCACTGAAAAGATCCCTTGAAAATATGTGGAAAATGTGTCAGTGCCCTTTCTCCCTGAAAGAAAGAAGTACATCTGACAAGTGCTGCATCCAAACAGTTGTCAGGTCAAGAAGTTGCGGTAACAAGCCACAGGTCTTGATGTCTCAAGAAATAAAGGAATAATGAGTCAGGT